TTATAAGAAATTCCACTGTGAAGGGTATTATAGCTTCGGTGCGGCCGGAGTTAACGTTTTTATTGTTCGGGGTTGATTCGAATCCCACGATAGACGACATTGCTTTTTTCTTCAATGCCAAAACTGTCAGCAATGATGAAAATATATTATTCAAGTGTTTTTCTAATATTATTTAAGTATGAGAAATGTCGGAGTCAATAGAAATTTAAGCAGGTCTACTACAAATAATTTTTTTGACAGCCAACTATAATCGTTTACACTATTTTCCCGTTGCAACCTGCTACACTGAACAATGGAAGATCGCTCAACGTATAGGAAATAATGCGTTTATGTCAAGCCGGGAAAGAATCAAAGCCTTAGAAACCTTTATATAAAGCTTTCAAATATTTACGTAAATTTTTCGAAATAAAAAAAAGGTAAAATATGTGCTGTACCGCAAGTTACACTCTTATTTCCCACTCCCTACTAACCTAAAACATACCGACATTTATTACTATTCTATATACACATATACATACATACATATTGTGTAATGTAAAATCCATGGCGAATAAAAGTTATTTCCCCAGGGCATTTACGCTGATTGCCGCTCCGATTAAAAATCCAATTTGGCAGTCAATTCGTTGTCATGTTTTTGTCATATTTATTTGAAATATTTATAGTTAGTTTATAAACGCAATTTCTATTTATAAATAGTAATATGTCATGCTTTGCTATGCTACGCCATTTAGAGCTATGCACAGGAGTGTATAAATTTAGCTAAAAATCAAAAAAGTATTTACAATCAACGGCAACCTCAATCAATTAACGAAATAACAAATGGAAATTAGATTAACGAATGCGTTTTTGTGCGGCGAGCGGCTTTCTTTGCTTCTTGGCCTGCCTGAAGAAAGAGTTAGTAAGTAAGAGTGGTGGGTGCTACGCTCTCCCACTCATAAATGTCACTAGTTAAATGCAGCGACTGTTTAACTAAACGGCACGTCAAAAGTAACTGATAGTCTGCCAGTCTGCCTGTCTGCTCGTCTTTCTGTTGTTTGGAGTCTACCGACTAGCCGCCTGCGCTGGTTGTTGTGCGAAGTTGTTGTCAAGCGATTTGGGCACCTTCAATCTATAATATTTTCATGGTTTCCAAGGAATTCGTGGTTTCTTGCTTTGCTGTTATGTTTTTCGGTATTTTTGATGTTTTTTCTTTTATTTTTGCCTTTGTTTTGGCATTACCGTGGTTTTCACGATTTTAGTTCCGTTACAAGTTGACGAATGCGCCTATGGAAATTCAAATGCAAAAATGCAGGTTTTCTTACTCTTGCACACACATACACACACAAGTATTTCGTTTTTCGTATAAAAGTAACTGCTTTTTTCTTCTCTTAACTTTTGTTGTTGCCTAATTTTAATGGCAAATTTTTGTTTTGTTTGAGTGCGCCGTGCATGTGTGCGTGCATTTTTCGTGCATGTTTTCGATGGAATTTCGTCAGTCGCAGTCGGAGTTTGTTGAAAAAAAGTTGTGCAAACTATTTGATGTTGGAAAATATGCAATAGTTCGCAGAAAGTATCAGAAAAGTTGCCAAAACGCGCGGCAGTTATGTAATTTGGCAGGAAAAAAGTAACTAACGTGTGTGTGTGTATGTGTGAGTGAAGTGCCTGTAGTGATTCACACTTAACGGTTGTGTATAAATTTCCATTAATTGAGCGTAAATAGCATTTTTTGTAAAAGAAAAAATAATAATTTCAATATGTGCGCTGGGGTAACTCATACGCACGGTTGCACCGAAAATCATAGAAATGCTTTGAGTGAAAGATGTATTGAAAAAATGCATGCTATGAAAATGTGTTCTCCGTTATTTTAACAGCAAACAAATTTCCCATCTACGAAACGCTTTCCACTTGAAAATTTCTGTATTACGTTGTGCAAGTTCACGGCTTCTTCGCCTTCAGTGAACTAACGAACTGTCGCGCAAGTCAAAGAAATTGGCAAATAAATCAAATTTAAAGTCAATATGAATGTGAGCCTTCTTTTTTTAGTGGCTCGAATTTGCCGCATTTCTGCGACTTTTAACAGACTGGCAGGGCAATAAGACTGCCGTCAGAAGCAAATGAAAACGAGTAAAAATAAAGCAGTTAAAATAAAAACAAACAAAAAGTACTGAATGAGCTTGTAATTTAAGGCAAATAAATAATGACTGTACGTTAATGAAAAGCAAAGGAATTCATCAATTTCCAGATGTACAACTAGAGCTCAAATATATCTTAGCAATAAAAGCAAAATGAAAGTGCTGCAGGAATGAGGGCAATTGGAGTCGTGGGGTACGCAAAAATACCATTGCGAACTGCCAAGTCACTGCAAGAAATAAAAGTTAAAATAGCTTACATTTAAAGGTGCAAGTCAAAGCATCTTTACATGTACTGGTTCGTGTTTTATGCCGTGTGAAACAAAGTACAAATTTATAGCGTAGAAGAGAGAGCTGAGCGGCGGCAGCGTATGTGACAGAATTGTTGTACGTGTGAAATAACGTTACAAATGCGAAAGTTCGTGTTGAAAAACCTATTTAAAATTTGCAAAAATATATAAAAGAGAAATGCGACGCTAAATCACTTAGTATAAGCAATTTCTTTAAAAATCGTCTCTCATAACCCCCTAAAAACTTGTTCGAGTGAAGTTTGTATAAATGACAGCTGTTTATAAATTACACAATAAATTGCATTTAATATCGCCGCGCAAAAATGGAGTTCGGCTTCGGCGGTCGTGTGCAGTTTCTACAAGCACAGCTCTTTCCCACTTGTGCGCTTTCGCCGGTCAATGCTGGAGGTAAATATTGTGTGGCAAATGTGTTTTTTATTACAAATTTTCTTCCTACTTTGTTTTTATAAAGGGTGGTCCATTTCGAGGTTCCCTACTTAAAAAAAAAAAAACAACAGAAAATTCAAATTTAATGGGAAAAGCTTATTATTATTCGAGAAAACATCCTTGGCATTAAGTATTTGTGTGACACGCGTGATGTTTTGCTCCAAGGCCTGACTCAAAGCGGGATTATCCGCATAGATTTTAGACTTTACATATCCTCACAGGAGAAAGTCTAACGGTGTGATATCACATGATCTTAGTGGCCAATCGACCGGCCCAAAACGTGAAATTATCTACTCAACGCAGTGTTATCAGAATAAATCCATTAATTGATGCGATGTGTGAAAAGTGGCGCCGTCGTGTTGAAACCAAATGTCGCCGAGATCATGAACTTCAATTTCAGTCATCAAATAGTCTGTTATCAAGGCGCGATAACGGTCACCATTGACGGTTGCGTTCTCACCGACATCATTTTTGAAGAAATATGGACCGATGACTCCACCGTCCGACAAACTACACCAACCAAATTTGGCGACCGTTTTGGTAGTCATAAATCAGTAGACTAGGCTTGAAGCATTCAAACCCAAAACAAACGATTTGAAGGATCGCTTGGTTGGGTTAGAAAGTCTGTTTCTTTTTGTCAGAGGGAATTTTGCCAAATAACAAAGAATGTGAACGAATATTCTGGATGACATTTTGAGTTTGAAACGCGCCGCCGTTGGACTTTTATCATATATTTTGACTTTTTTCGAAAAGAACAGCGAAACATTCACGCCGATAGATACGGCCTGAGTCCAATGAGACTTTCAAAAAATATCGCTGCTGATGCTAAAGCAATGCGGAAGGCATATAAGAATTTTATGGAAGGTTAGATTAGGAAGTTGGAATCATCTAGACACTTACTTCTAAACTGTCCAGCTTTTGCCTCTATAGGTTGAAATATTTCGGTAGACATAATTTTTGGCGAACCGAGCGTAGTGGCTGCAGTTGACATTGGCTGCCTACACAAGTTCATGGTAGGCTCTAAGAAGTATTAATCTAGAAGGGTCTAGTGAACCATATCTAGGAGTTTTGGAAATCACAAAGAACCAGCGTTCACAACTGTGCTAATTTAACCCAGACTAACATTTTCATTGTGTTCAAGCCTTTACGAATGAATATCATTTACAATCATTATGGGCACAAAATGCGACTAGTAACATATGATATCCATAGACATATACAAGTATGTATAAACTAATAGAGTATTAGATGAGTGTATATAATATGAGAGATATCCATTTCCAAATAACATGCCGGCTTCTTCATTGCAAGTTCTTGAAATAATATATAATTTTCACTAACAAAATACTTGTAGAGAAATTATCGAAACTTTCTTCTCCTCTTGGCGTGATAAATTAAGCAAACTGAAAAGAAGAACGGCAAAATCCGCACAAAGAAAAGCACCAAAAAAAAAGTTATGATCTCAAAGCAATAGTTCAGAGTTTGAACACCAAACTGAGCAGAGTCAACTTGAAAGTTTGCATAAACCGCTGCCGGGTATTTGAACTTTGGATAACAGCTCAACTCAACTCAAGTCAATGAGCGCAGGAAATTATAAATGCTTTGCTTTTTTTCACGACCGTTACGCGATTGGCGTTGCAGCAAAACGAGTGGAAGTAAGCGGAAAATAGCAGCGATAAAATTGAATTTCTTGCGGCGGCGCGGGTGAAGGAGGAAATAACGGTCAGCAATGCAATAAACTTTATGCGCAGAGTATTTCAATATTCGTTGAAAAGGTGCGGAATTTATTGTTCGAAACGCTGCTATTGGTCTATTGGGCTTTATGGGCAAAGGATTGTAAAAATATATACATATGTATATATACAAACATAATCTACGGTGCTGTTGCACTGATCCGTCGCACTTTTGATGCAGTAATCCGATAACCTATAATGTCTGCCACCTCACATAACGGCAAAGCACTCACTTTGTTGAAACCTACTTTGGCGCAAAAACTTTCGAGGCGCTTTGCCCCTGGGAAATCATTACTGCAATCCGTTATGTGTTCAATGCTCGCTTATGAGCTTTTCCTGCGCACTTGAGTGGGATTTGGCGAAAAGCGGAAATTTGTAGAAAACAAACAGGCATCTTGTTTCTGCTGAACTATTGTACTTACTTGTGTGTGTGTATGTGCCCTCCGCACTGCTTTTGTTACTTCGCCGTCGCTTCCTCTATTAGCTGCAAGTTATGTTGTTGTCGTTGTTTACCTTTCGCATTCGTGTTGTTGTACTGTTGTTTCACGTTTTATTGTTGTATTTCGTTTTTTGCTATTTTTTCTTGTTGTTGTTGTTGTTTTTTTTTGTTTTCGTACGAAGTCCTTGCAATTGACTTGTCGTTGTGCGATTGTTGCGTTGCTATGTTGTTGTTGCTGTTGCTTTTAGCGTTGTACTTTTTCTATGTTTGTTTGTAGTTGTTGTTGCAGTGTCTCTTTCACCCGCTAGTTGCTATTGGAAGGATCGTTGTTCTTTCTATTTTTGCTATTTGTTTTGCATTGTTTTTCTGTTTGTTTTCCTATTAAGATTCTATTGTTGTTGCTTCACCACTTTGCTTTGTTTTTGTTGTAGTTGTGCTGTAATGGATCAAGAGATTTGATAACGTTAAGGAATTTGTCATTCACTGAGGATTTGTTTTGACTCAAAATAAAAGGGAATGAAATGACAGTACAGTGGATTATCACCCTGTTAGAGTTGAATTACGGTTAGGGATAAAGGAAACGGATAACTGTTAGTCGGGAGAGTGTTTTTGTATGTACGAAATGTATGAAATTTGTATGTAGTTACTCGTAGTTCATTTGATAGCGGTTTCATAAGCTTTTGTTTTAGTTGTAAAATGCTAATCAATAGTTGTGGTGAATTTGGAAGATATGTTGACTCAACTGTCATATTTTACTAGTTAATGACCTTTCGTCGTATACATGTAGATCGGAGGAACTGTGTTCGACTTTTATAGGGAGTACTTCGAATCAGTAGAATTAATATACCAAATAGTTATCATATATTACCTTTTAAATTCGTAGTAGTAATTTCTAAATCTAATTTTCACCAATTTCAGATATTTCAGTTTCACTATTTAATGATATTTGTCAGATTTATGTTAGCTCATACAATTGTATTGGTTTTTCATGCAGTATTTCTGTGGTTGTTGTCAAGTATAAGTCTAATGCGAAATCATTGAGCTCTTTGAACTATTTTGTGACTGAGATTTCGATAATAAATGTTTTTGCTTGTTCAATGTTTGGAACCGAATATATTTTTTTATTATTTATGCAAAGTTGGAAACATACCGCAATTAATTTTTTTCTTAAACTTCACAAGTTGAAAATTTTTAAAATTGTTTCGAAAACTTTTACATTTCGAAAATAAAATTGCGAAAAAAATTTTTTGGGGTAAAATAATGTAATTGATTTCGAAAAATAAATACGTGCGACAAAAATAGCGATTCTTGCAGTTTTACTCTATCTAAGACTCTTTGAGGTTAGAAAATAGCTATGAAATTGTTACTATCTTTCCTCTAGGAAAAGGTTTTAGTTTTGAAACTTATCTTTTAGCATTTTTTTTTTAAAATTTGGCATATTTTTTAAATATTCAACTTGGAAATGAATGAACTTTTCGTTAAGAATTTTTGCTGCCACAAATCAATACTGTCAGTCGTAAAAAGTAAAATTGTTTTTAGAACACCGGAGTTAGAGACAATTTCCTTATTTCTAGAGGGTGTAATTTCTAAACTTCGAACAAAACCGTTAGAAATATGAAACAGAATACATAAATCAAACACATTGGCATGCAAATAAGAAAAGGCTATATGCGTATGCAGCCGCTATTTACAAAAATGGAAGGCGTGTGAAAAGTTTCGAAGTATTTGAAAAATACTAAATTCATTTAGATTAGTTTAAGGTGTTACAAATAACCGTTAGATGAATAAACGTATGATATAATACGCTGTTGCAACATGTTCCAAGAATATATAAAAAAAAAGCGACGACTTAATCAAGCTTTTGAAACTGTAATAAATTTATCATGCCGTTTCGTAAAACAAAATTTTCGAAAATTAAAATTTAAAATCAAATCAGAAAAGTAGAAAAAAGTAGTAGAAGGGAAAAAATATATAATATAATTTTTGAAAATCAAAAAATTTATTTTACAAATTTGATTTTCCACCACAACCCCGAAATGTCAACAGTGGTATTTACTCAATAAAACATTTTGGTATATTAAATGAGTATCGGAACACCACTGCAATACAAATATATATGCAGAATTATGAATATACAAATACACATGCATACATACATACATATATGTATGTATGGAAGAGTGTATACCGCCTGACTGCCAATTTGTAGCGCTTTGTCTCCTAATTAGTTTGTTATTGCTTATGTCAACGAATTGTTTACTGCTAATGCCTCAAGTATCATTTGCAGAACTTCATTGAAATCATTTGTGGTAATTAGCAAATTGGATCGAATTACTTATGTACTCGGAATCGACATTTGCAACCATGGTGCAATCGATTTCACAATGAAATTCAAGGAATGAGTGCAGTACATTTGTTGATTTCTAGAATAAAAAGCCGTTAAGTAGATGAAAATACACAGGTGAGGGAATGTATGAGGGAGAAATTGGCAGATTATACATGGTATACATATACTATGAAGGTATTTTATTATATAATAGAATATGGCTGTACCAATTATAGGCAGGTATAAACAAGACTGGACTATATAGGGTTAAGCGGTATATGGCTCATTACTTCTTCTCCAATTGGCTTTGGTTAAATGTGGAAAACTTCCTCTGTCCCTAAACGTGCTTTTGAAATTTTTGAACATTTTCATGACTGTGTTTATATCAATTTAACTACCTTTCGCACAGCATTTCTCTCAAGCGCAGTGGTGGTTTAAAAGAATTTCCTTGCGGGCATTTGCGCGTGAGTATATTATATAAACATGCGTTAAATGTTGTGTGACAGTGTAAATATGGCAAAGGGTTCTTAATCCGCTTTTTCGCAAAGTGCTGATTAAAAAATGAATTAAATGCATGATGTAAAAGCTATGGACATTTGCACGCCGCATCAGAGCGTGTATCCACACGTACACCCACATACATGCATGGAGCCAATCGAGGTTCAAAATGTGTGATATTTGCATGTTTGTGTGTGTGTGTTGGTGGCGTGTTGATCAGCAGGTGGATAAATAAAAGCCAATCGAGCGTGTAAATCACTTCCACAAAAGCAAAAACAAAAACAAAAAATGCAAAATGTTTAATCCGTTGGAGGGTAAATGGGAACATGGCTGTTAAGTTGGCGGCAAACGTGAAGTGCTTTAGGGCAGCGCTTGAAAATAACGGGTTTTACGTGCGGTCAATGATTGTCGCTCTTTGTAAAATTGAGTTGCAAGGAGTTCTGTTAATGAGATTTCGATGCATAGAATTTATGAAAAGAATTTCATATCGTTGACTTGGCTTTAGAAGAGCTTCAGTCAAGCATTTTGGAAGGCCTTCATAGAAAAATATTTTGGAACAGAGTTGCTACGTATCAAAAATCAAAAATAGAAGTATACTACAAAATCTATGAAAAAAAATCTATAGAGAGTGAAGAAAGTGCGTGTTTCCAGAAATCTTTCGAAAAAATTAAAATTATATTCAGAGTTTCGACAAATCAAAAAATGTATGTAACATATTCCAAATTGTTCCAAGGTATGAGGTACAAACGAGCAGTCAAGGAAGCATTTAAAAACCCCTTTGAATATATATTTATTTCTTTTCTGTCAAAAAATTAAAAAAAAAACCACTGCAAATTGTGGGCTTTTAAAGGTCGTTTAGAGAATAAAAAGAGCGTTTTGCAATCGTTAGGGATTTTTAATTACCTCTCAGAGAGTTTTTGAAAAGTATTTAGTTCAGAGTTACCACCTAAAATCAAAACAAGGAACACGTTTAAAGTACGTCAAAGGATAATGGATTTAAATATGCCTTCCACAAATTATGCTAGATTCTTTATTTTCAACATAACCAAAAAAATCAAAACTGACCAAAATCAGTTTTAAACGTAAAAAATAAATGAATAAATATTACAAAATGCTTCCAAATATAAGAAGTTTAAGCAAATTTCGAAATATAAAAAATTTAAGAAAATTTTCTTCAAAGTTTTCGAGAAATTCAGAGCTTGAGACAAAGGTGCCAGCAGGGTCGCAAATAATGCATTAAAAAAATAATTGAATTAACATTTGAGTTAAATTTGTTTGCATTGTGTCCCAAAAAGAGTGTTTAATAAAAAAAATGCTATATACCGGATAAAAAAAATATAAAATTAATTTTTAATCCCAAATTTTTTATTAAAAAAATTCGAAACCCTTGTGGCCACATATCGATAAATGTAAATCTGGCGAAATATTATAAAATTTTAAAATTTACAAGGAGTTTAATACACAGTAAGTGTTTATAAAGGGGTTGTATGTCTTTAATTGTAACATATTTTTAAAAGAGGTTGCCATTTAACGAAAATATACAAACAAAATACAATATAAAAAAAATCTGTCCAAACACAAGACGTTTTTGAAACGTATTTGAAAAGTCTTTAATTGAAATGTGTTTTATATTAGAGTTGCCACCTTTTATTAAGCCACATACATGAGCTATCAGAGCTATAGCTGCGGTAACACGGAGAACAATAATAATTGCCAACGCAACAAAGAAACAGCAGGTGCCACTGCAGTAATTAACAGTTATATGCGCATTTTTTGCGAATATATGATTTTTGATGTAGTTGATAGTTGCAAACATGAAATTTAATTATTATGACAACTGCAATAAAGGCGCTACAAAAGTGCTGGCCATAATAGATTAATTGCATAACAACGAAATGCACAAGCAACAAACAATAATAAAAATCAGTGAAATCAAAATTACGTCTGGCTTTATTTGTTCGCCGCCAGCTGCAACCGCTCTGCAATATTAATATTGTTGCGGCTGCTTGCTATTCCCTGGCGACAACTGTTGCCACTGCGCTGTTACGTGACTCATTGTGCCGTTATTGTTGTTTTGTCATATTGCCCACCGCATATTTTCGTGCACGATTAATTAAAATTTTATGCCTGCATAGGAGAATTGTTGGCAATGAAAAGCAGCTGACAAATAAGTGAACCGACGAGCTAGAAAGCCTTGCTTGGGGTTGCCACCAGCACACAAACACATACATACATATTATTTAATATGTAATAGCTCTGCACTATAATCTGCGACATTAAATGTTGCTGTTGTTTGCTCATGTTTTTGTTGTAGGTATGTGCCAGTGACAGGCGGAAGAAATGCGGCGATAAGTGCGATTTGAAATTTATTTTTGATGTACAATATATGCATTTTATCGGGAATTTCGGCAATTGCCGGCACTTGCTCGCCGTGCAGCTCTGACTTGTAGTTGTGTGCATGTGTGTGAGTGTGTCTGTGTAATTGCGGTTTATTTACCTCTGTAAAATATTTGCTTACAAGGTTAATAGGTGATGCGCTTGTATGTTTGTAAATGATAAATAAAATTTCACATTTTGCCAATTTTTTGGCAAATGCTTTCAACGAAATAATT